TAAGAGTGGCCCTCATATTTCTCAGTTCCTTCAAAACCTGCTAGGCTGACACGTCTGCTGCTGCTGCAAGGCAACCTCTGCTTCCCTGCCACATTACTATTAGTATTGTTATTAATTTATCTAGGGTTGTATCCAGTGCTCCATGAGCAGAGGAACTCCTCCCCCCTCTTCACCCCAAAGTGTTCTCCTACCTTCCAGAGGTGCTTTTGAGGGTGGGTGGGTGGGTGGCTGCATGGGAGAGGCGAGGAGGGTTGAAATTCTGTCCAACAAGTGGAAGTCTTTTGTGCTGATGGAGCAGGAATGTTGGATTACTGCCCTAAAATTATCTCCTGCCTTTACTCACAAAGGAGCCCAGAGGCACAAGCACAAGGTGATAAAATTACAGCTTTAAAATAAAAATGTATTTAAACATTTAATAAGCTCTACAAATATTTAAAAGCATTGAGAGCATCAAAAAATGTGCCAAACAACTACGTATAATTTCAAGGTCATCAATAAAAGTTATCTTTCAGTATTCAAATGCCTGGGTGGACAGGAATGTTTTAAAGTTTTTCCTAAAAGTTAATAATGGGGGAAATAGATGCACCTCACCAGAGAAAGCATTCCATAGAAATGGAATTGCCACCAAGAGGGCCAGCTGGGTAGGTCCCAGCAGTAGCAGCACCAATAGGGACTTCCCTGCTTATCTTAGAACCTAATATGGTTGTTCCTCAGGAGGAGTTCTTTCAGGTACCTGGGTCCCAAGCCATTTAGGGCTTTGTACACTAGAGCTTAGAACGCGGGTGGCGCTGTGGTCTAAACCACAGAGCCTATGGCTTGCTGATCAGAAGGTTGGTGGTTCGAATCCCCACAACGGGGTGAGCTCCCGTAGTTTGGTCCCTGCTCCTGCCAACCTAGCAGTTCGAAAGCACGTCAAAGTACAGGTAGATAAATAGGTACCACTCCGGCGGGAAAGGTAAACGGCGTTTCCATGCACTGCTCTGGTTCTCCAGAAGCGGCTTAGTCATGCTGGCCACATGACCCGGAAGCTGCAGACAAACGCTGGCTCCCTTGGCCTATAGAGCAAGATGAGCGCAGCTACCCCAGAGTCAGTCACGACTGGACCTAATGGTCAGGGGTCCCTTTACACTAGAGCTAACACATGGACTTGTGTCACCTGTGCTGCCACTGCCTGCTTTATCACCCAGAGCTCATCAGAAAACCAATAGTTATACCTAAAGCTTTAATGCTTTTGAAGAGCACATTTTTTGCTTTCATTATTTTTAACTGCTTCTGAAGCAGGACTGATTTTATTGACACAGGGCCAACCAGTCAGTATTATGCAAATCCAGGGGGAGAAAGGACCCCACTTAACCTGGGGGATAACACAGTATACAGGAATCAGAAATGTGAGTGTTCTACCAATCAGTGTCTAGATGCAACCCTTGTTATGGGATCCTCTCAAGGGATCGCTCTGGGTGGCTGTTTCCCTCCTCGGCCACTGTGGAATAATGCACACAGCTTCAAAGACAGCATTATTCTGACTCCCAGATGCTCAGGATTAACAACAGGCGCTTGGCTATCTGAGCACATTTAGCAGAAAGAAAGCTATATTATGCAGTGCCAGTTAGGAACTGTGGTTCTTTTGGGGCACTAACTAGGAAATGTCTGACCATTTTAATCATTTGTATACATTTTCACTGTGTGTATTCGATCAGCTGGTCTTGTGAGCTTGGTACCACGAAATGTGATGTTTCAAATATTAAAGTTAAGCAAGGTTGTATCTCCACCTACAGAAATCTTTCTAATGTGTTTGCAGGTGATTAGAATGCTGGATGCCCACAAGTCAGATATCAGCTTCTCCATAACATGTGTGGACTATTAAAAGCAGGATTCATGGGGAAGTAACAATAGCTCTACATCCCAATCATAACAGCTGCATTTTAAATATACTTTCAATGTATTTTAGTGATTACTGTCATTGAGGCAAATGTTGCCTAGAAGTGGGAATGAACATTCTATTATGGTATTGGTTTGGCTTAGCACAATAGGGACCATTTCATTTTTAAGAAAGTTCATACTTTTCTAGTGGCAAAACATCCCCCTCCCCCCAAAAAGTTATCTTGCACATAATTGACTGAAATCTGTCCTCTTCTCACTTTAGCATAGCAATGCAAGTACAGTGGTACCTCGGGTTAAGTACTTAATTCGTTCCGGAGGTCTGTACTTAACCTGAAACTGTTCTTAACCTGAAGCACCACTTTAGCTAATGGGGCCTCCCGCTGCCGCCACGCTGCCGGATTTCTGTTCTCATCCTGAAGCAAAGTTCTTAACCTGAGGTACTATTTCTGGGTTAGCGGAGTCTGTAACCTGAAGCATATGTAACCTGCAGCGTATGTAACCCGAGGTACCACTGTAAGTGTATTTTAGAAATACAGTCTAAGATTGTTATAATGTTGCCTATATTTTTTGCTCTGTTGTAGAACATATATAGGGGAGAAGTAACTAATCTAGATTATCTGTCAGATTGATAATTAACCATTTGTTCCATAGAGACTGGCTTGCTTTTCTCTATGTGGTGTGTGTTCCACATAAAATTTCAGCAACTTTTTTTAAAAAAATAACAAAGCATTTATTTGTGGCTTCCGAAACCAATGGAATAAGACAGCACTGGATTCTGGCAACAGTTAGAATAAATCCTATTGCAGCTTGGTTCTATCATCATAAGTCTGGGATCTCCAATTACTATTTGCAGGAGAAGTGGTCTGTTAGAATGGCAGAAACTGCTTCTGATCCCTGATAAGATGCAGGCCATTGTGAGGAAGCTGGATGAGTTTTCTGAGTGAGCTGTTTTGTTACATGTGTTTGCTGCTTATCTAGATCTTTTCATGCTGTTCTGGTATATGTGTTATCTTGCAAAATGATTGATTAAAGAGGAAAGGATTACCACACTACAGGATAATTTCTTAATAAGATAATTTTTAGTTTTAAACGTTATCTCCTCACCTTTATGTCCTCAAATAGCACCCTTGGCAGCAAATAGAAGCCAGGCAAGGGGATTCTCAGTAGTATCAGGGATTGCTTTTTCTTCAAAAGTGCCAGTTTCAAAACACTGTTTTGAAAGCATGAATAGCTTTTAAAGAACTGCATATTACTTCCATGTTCATTTGTGAATCCACTTTATTCTGCTTTCATTGTAGCTTCTCCTGCCTCAAATGTTGCAAGCTCCTGAGGGCAGGAACCCTGTCCAATCAACACTGATGGCCCTCAACTAACAATTGCAATGATTAGCAATATTGCAACACACTTGCAATTTCTCTGCTGTGCAGAGTTTCAGAATACAAATGATGTTTTAAACAAAAACTAGAGAAACATGTAAGAGTTGCTTCCATTGTTTTTGCTTCCTGTCTATTTGACTTGCATGATTAAAATGGGCTCACATGGTGGTGATCTCCTTGATTAGCATGATGGGCTGTAAAAGAGTAAAAGAACCCCTGTGTCCTGTCCCCCCCCCCCGTCCTCCCGCTTCCCAACAGACCATGAGTAGAAAGAGTCCCTTGAGACTTGGCGAGTAAGTCAGGCTATTAAGAACCTGTCATTTCAAACAAAGGCACCTCCAACTAGCAAAATGGCTGAGAGTTATTAGATGCCTTGGCAGATGTTGAACTTGTCTGTGTCATTAATTATGCCTTGGGCAGCTTTTCTTGTAGCAGCAAATTCCAATACATCACTCAGCTTGTGATGTGCAAATGCAAATAGACACACTTTTATTTTACATGTTATGTTTTTGAGATCATTTTATTTGAAATTGTAATGCCATATTTCCTCCCTGGATAAAGCTAAGCTAGCCAAATACATATCCCCTATGCATTTTTATGTAAACAAATGGCAATGGCAATCTGATAAACCAACAAACTAGATTAGGACTTCTTGTAAGATAACATAAGATGATTTGCTATGAGTAGTTATTGTGGAGTTGAGAAGCAAAAAACTGGAATGTCAGAGATATTCTTTCAATTTTCACGTTATATTGGACCCAAGTTAAAACCAGGGAAATGCCTGAAATTCTTTACAGCCTGATTCCCAATAAGAGAAATCCACTTTAAAAGTTCTGCAGCTAAATGGGCTGAGCTAAGTATGTCTTATTGATGAGAGGAAATTAGAACAATACCAAATAATATAGGTATAGCAATTACAATGCAATTAAACACCAGAGGTCAGGATGTCTATTAATGCAAGCAGAGCTAAATACAGGTGCCCTGTTGCATCCAGAAATAGCAAAAATGGGTAAAAATGACTGACAATAAAACAGGTAGAGAAACTGAAATCTCATGGGAAAATAATAAATGGAAATCACCAGAAGAAATCAAAGCAAAAATTCACAGGTTGAACATAAAGGATAGGAACCACTGATGCAGTCCTTAATTCACATTGCTATTGTATCATCTAACAGTCTGGTGCTATATGAGAGAGAGAAACAGAAAGAGAGAAAGAGAAAGAGAAGAGAAAGAGGGAGGGAGAATGTCACACAGGTCCTCCCCACCTGATTGCCACCCTTAATCTTGGCCAAACACCAGGGTTTTGTTATCTTTAAAATGAAGTTTTCCTGAAATATAATGACTATTACTGACTGCTTGAAAGTACAGTAGTCGGGTATTGCCTTGTACACAGCTCACCACACGTACAAGAGAAGGAGCATGGAAAGAAGTGGTAACACACCAATATAAATCAAGATAGCCATATTGCCCAATCAACTACTCTCAAGCATAAGAAATAAGATCCCAGATGATGTAGAAGCGTTCTAGGTCCTTCATCCCTCTGGAGACCCAAAGTTTATGTGTTATTTTTTTCTGCAATAGCCAAAGTCCATAGGTTTTCATACCAAAAAGACAAATGCTGATTTTTTAAATATAAGTTTTGCATGGCAGGGCTAATGAAATCCTATTTGCAGTTAGCACCCCTATCAAAAGTTCTGTTTTCTAAAATTGGTTGAAAAGATGTGTCATATTATTCCACCTTACCCCTTTTGTAGCTTACTTGCAGTGATAGAGAGTGAAGAGCAGCTTGGCAGTTCTGTGCTGGTTTTGACAGCTTCAGCTTCAGAAGGGCTATTGCAATCTGCGTTGTATGAATTATCTGTGTAGGATGAATTATTGTAATAATTACAAGGCAACTTTTCCCACCCTGTAAGGCTCAATCTAGTGGTACAGTCTTGTTCTACAATATTTTGCATTTCTTGGGTGGGCTGGTGGGGAATACAAAAAAAATTCAGAAATCACTAAAAGTGTCCACATAGGAAGCTAAAATAGCTCTTCAATCCTTTATCAACAGCATATATTAGAGAAGCAATAATAACCTGTTACAATGCATCACTGAGTCCAATGAGTTTTTAAAAAGTTGTGAGGTCTAAAAACCAACCATCACTTTACCCTGCTGGGTAAATGACTCATTTCTTAATGCATTGTATTATTTTGATAGGACTATGAAACTTTGGATTACTGCTGCATTCTGAAATAAGGAGCTTTCATTGTTGTTAAAATTAACTGAGGGTTAAAGTAATTGAGGGCTATTGATGGTTACGGCTGAATTTTTAACATTCTAAAATAAAAGCACGATAACTTTAAGGACTTTATATAAGAAATATAACTTTCCTTCTGTGGTTTGGGAAGTTGCTTGTTTATCTAGGCGAACTATATTAAAACGAAGAAAGTTAAAGTTATGCATTATTAATTAATATATAGACATATATTTTAAAGACACTGAAGTCCTACCTTTTAAGCAAGCAAACCTTTATTCAGCAAGCCTTTTAGTAGCTTTCCTATGGCACTTTGGTGGTAATTCAGGAATGCAGGGTCAAACAACAGCCTAGTCATAGAGTATTCCCTGAAGGCTTAGAGGCATTATGGCAGGCTGTCCAGGCTAATCATTTCAAGCGGCCCATGGAAAACCACTTTCTGGTTAAGTCTGCATCATCCTGTTCCACCAATGGAAAAAATTGAACATGAGGAGGGTGTGTAGCTTGCAGACAAAAATATATCCAGCGTAGCACAGAATCTGTTTTTAGCCCATAACTGCTGAACATTTTGGAGACTTAGACACAGTTTCCTGGCTTACCAGAAGCAGGAAAAGAAAGGGAGAGTCTGTGTGTATGTATGCTAAACGGTTCTGTGACACGTTTGGAGAAACGGACTAGAGCAGAAGCTCTGGGCAGCAGAGATTGGGGTAAGGAATCTAGTGGGACACGCAGTCTGCTCAATAAGAAAAGAAGTTGTGAAGGGGGAACTGGGCAGAGTAGTTCTGTTTGTGATTCTTGGCTTTGAACTTTTGCTTTCCTTTCCAAACAGATTAAGAGGGACACATTTCCCTTTCAGCAGTCTTATGAGCAACTTTGCTGAATGAGCTAGTGGCTGCCGTTGTTTAAACCGTTGAGTTAGCTGCTATTCAAATTGTCTTACAGTTTGAATAGTAAAAGATTGATTTTCCTTACAGAGAAAGATTTCTGTAGTAGAGCTTTTATCCTGCCTGCATACAGTATGACTAATCAGTAAATAACTCTTGCTTGCTCTCTTGGTTTTTTTCCCCTGAAATTTACAGTGCATAAATGCATTGCTTAACTGTCTGAAAATTTACTTTTGTTATTCTGTATTACTTATATATTAGATGAACACTTCAGGTCTGAACTTGCTCCAATATTGAATTAAGTAACTTTTAAAAAAAACAACAAAGTACGGATGCTTCCTTCTCCCCTCCCTTCCCTCCCCACCCACCCCCTGGCTAGGATGGATCTTTAGGCTATTGCATAGCTTTTCAGATGGAATGTTATTCATATGCCACACAATACAACCATTCTAATGATACCTTTGCAGTTCCAAATGATAAGTATTTGGCAGCTGCTGTTGGAATCGACATGCTAAAATAGATGGAGCCTTGGTGTGATCCAACAAGACATATTTTATGTGTTTATGAAAGAAAATGCTACTGAAAAAGAGGAAGTGTCTTTATTAAGAGTGCTGATCATTATTTCCACTAGAATGGAATTGCCAAGTTGATATGCCTCCCTTGGTGTAACTGGCATCCTATTCTAAGCCACTTACTTTGAAATAATTGGCTTTAGTGGCATTTGGCATTTTGTTCTAGCTTTATTTAAAACTAGTTTATTAGTTACAGGATAGCTGCGAATGGTCCCAGAGTAAGTTTTTTGTGCGAAATCAAGAAGGACTTCATGCAGCAATAAGAGCATCAGTGGTTTGTCTCAGTTCAGTGGCTGCTCTGGGCCAGCACTGGCATTCAAGGCCACATCAGCAGTGATGCAGCAATGAGCCACACCACTGAAGTGTCAGGCAAAAGCATTGGCTTTGGCAGAGGAAGTAGCTGATGGGCTGGGAAAGGATGTGGCCAGTAATACTTAAGCACCCTAGGTAGGGAAAGGAGAGAGTCTGTGACTAGGAGCTGCAGTATGTCAAATGAGCCTGTGACCATTTAATTCAGCTAAAGGAAGGTGAAGTTGTGTTTTCTAGCAGAAAACTAGTATAGGAAAAGAGCCTGAAGGAGTAGGCACTTTTGTTTCTAGTCCTAAAAGTAGCCTTCTATGTTGGTAGAGTTTGCTGTTGGGGCAAGTTGGTCTCCGTCCAACTACCCAAGGCAATTGGAGGATGTTCATTAGGCATGAGTGGGGACCATGATTCAGGGCTTTGCAGAGGATGGTGGCTGTGTAGCTATATGATAAGACTAGAATGAAAATGCACAAAACCCCAGTGTGCACACAGTCATAATGGAAGCAGTGTCATAGTTGGATGGGTTTTGCACTTTTAGAGGAAAGTGGATCTTTATAGTTGGGATTGTCTCACACTATTATCATGTCTACAGTACACTCTGCTGTACAGCGTACTTAATCCATCCATCTATTTGCCTACCTTATGGAATAAACTAAGGCAGTAGGTACCGTTATCAGGATATCAGATGTACAGGGATTTGGGGCTCAGTCTCCCACATCCAAACCCAACAGTCTATCCACTGCATCACTCTATTAACCCCAGCGACATGATATGGCATGATTGAGGTCTCCACTTTCTTTTTGTTAGATTGGATCTTATGCACTGTTAATGTTCAGACCTATAGACTAATTTGTGTTCATGTGATAACTTCTAATTCTAAACTGCAATGACTTACTTGTTTGCAATTAGTACTGTTGGTATGTGCTAATTTGACAAATCTACATTGGAACTAATGGCTGACCACAAAGTGTAATGCACTGGTGTGTCATTTCCATTATATCCTTTTCTACATCCCAAATTGAGAGGGTGCAGCGGAGACAGTAGGCAACAGCTGCATGTCATGTGAGTAATCATGCTGAATCTTGAGTATACCCAGAGGACCATTTCCAGGAAGACTGCATAGTAAAGTTGATTCCACATGATTTTAGTCTTATCTTAAAGTAGTGCAAGGAGTGGTGATTTGAATTTGTGTTACTTACTGTGACTACAGAATCAGAAGGTCATTGCTATTAAGGAATAATTAACCTGGAAGATAAGGATGTGATTTTGCACATGAACTAGAATAAAGTGAGATGAGTGCCGCAACCCCAGAGTCGTTTGCGGCTGGTCCTAATGGTCAGGGGTCCCTTTACCTTTACCTTACTAAAATAAAGTAGTCCACATTTAATCTTCAAAATAGAACACGTGAACAAGAAGTGTCTACAATTGCACTCTGCAATGTGCCTTTCTTTCTTTATTTTTGAGATTGCTGTTCATAATTTTTAGGCTGCTGATTTGTGGAACGTATGTAGATTCTTTGGTTTCAGATTTGGTGAGAGACCATTCTATAATGGTGTCAAAGTGGCATTGCAGCTAGAATACATAAATCATGCTTCCATTTGGAATAAGTGAACCCTTAAAGACTGAATAGGAATATAAAAATCATAATCATTTGTATTTGTGTGGCTGCTCATTCCTTGAGTTTCTTGGTATATAATTTAAAATAGTAAATCTGCCAAGAATATCATAGTAGCATTAGTTTGTGTGTGTGTGTGTGTGTGTGTGTGTGCGCGCGCGTATAGGCATAGGAGTGTTGCTAAGATTGTAGAAATCAAAAGCTCTGCTTTTGGTTTGCAATAGCATGTGACTAAGATGCCTGGTTTTCAAAAATGCAGTAAATTATTCCAGGAAGTCTTCTGTGAAAGCTGAAAACTGTTATGCACACATCTCCACTCAGTTGCTTGATATATAAAAACGTCACGTGTGGCCTTGGCAAAAGGCGCATGAATGTAATAATCATGTAAGTGGTTTTGTCCTCTTACATTTGCAGTTTTACTTTTAATACAAAGTGTTCAACTTGACAAGGAAATATACTATATCCTTGTGCGGCTATCCAATAACATAATTTCCTATTGAATATCCTGCTAATGCAAACATCGTGATCATACGTGTGCATGAGTTATTGACATAGGATTGTGATGATAGAAAAGCTGTTGTGAACATAGGGAAGAGCCCATCTAGTCCAGCATCATTTCTCACAATGGCCAACCAGATGCTTATGGGAAGCTTGCAAGCAGGGCATGGACACAATAGCACCCTCCCTGTTTGTGATCCCCACCAGTTGGCATTCAAGACCCACCCTATTTCTGTGGCTGAGATTTGTTTTAACTATTTTACTCCTGAATTTTAGATTGTTGTAACCCACCCAGGGACTGTGGACGAATTGTGGGTAATAATAATTATAAGAATGCCACCTCTGATACTGGAGGTCTTGCACATCCATCATGGCCAGCAGCCATTGACAGCCATATCCTCCATTAATCTGTCTTAACTCCCTTTTGAAGCCACCCAAGTTGGTGGCCATCCATTTATTTTGTAGGGAATTTAAGTGTGGGAAGAACTTTATTTGGCTGTCCTGAAACTCTCCACATTCGGCTTTATTGGTTGACTCAGGGTTCTAGTATTATGAAAGAGAGAAAAACCTCTCTCTATCCACTTCCCCCACAATTATTAGTATTAGTATTATCGTCACATATTTATTTTTTTAATCCCTTCCTTTTTTTCATGGTGGCTTACAAATAAAAACAAGGTGAATAACTTAACACATCCTTATCATGTCCTGCCTTACTCGCCTATTTCTAAACTAAAACACTTCAAATATTGCAGCCTTTCCTCACAGAGGAGTTGATCATGATCATTTCGGCTGTCGCACTCTACTGATTTGCAAGAGCTAGGTTTACGCCATTTTATTTCACATCACAGCAGTGCAGTAAAATAACATCAAGTTTGTAAGAGGAATAGGTGGATGTGTTTGTCTCGCCATGGAAAAACCCATTGGCTGAAATTAACTCTATGGCCATTGGCCTTTAAGAAGCCAGCAACCTTTTTTTGCGGGGGGGGGGCACTATATTTTTCTTATAAAATAGCCTCCCCTTAACATTTCCTCTGTCATTTCCCCTCTATGAATTATAAAATTCAAGGTCTGGTTACACTTTTCCATTTTGTTATTTATTCTAAACATGATCCATTTGTATGATGTCAAGATCCCCTAGACCTTGAATCCATTTGTTTGAATTATGTGATGTTATGTGATAGTTGTGAAGACTTGTTGGCTAACAAAAAAAGAAACCAATTGCTTGTGAATATTCAGGTGCTTTGAATGGTCCTACCTGGGACATCCCCCCCCAAATAAAGCTGAATCTGCTGTGTGGCAGAACCCTTGAAATGACCATCAACTGGATGGTTACTGGGTTGTGTCTGGGATAAAGACTGGTGACAATAAACAGAATTCACTGACTTTATTAGGACCTAAGAACCACAAGAATGAGCTTCATCAAGCCTTAGCTTATGCTGCCCACCCTCCAGCTGTGTTGCAAGGAGATTTCATTTCTATTTTAGATCATCCATAGCTTGTTGTGTTGTTCAAACTCAAACAAAATAATTCAGACTTAACTATAGTGTGTTGAAGCTAGCCAA